ACCTGGGCAGGAGATATTTATTGAGCATCACCAGTGGCACAAGTCACAGGGTGTGACACAGGTGCTGGTGTGATAACAGGAAGTCAGCAACGGCCTTGCTATCTAAGAGTTGTCAGTCTGGAAGAGTAGACAGATGTCACCCTGTGGCCCATGCTACAGAGAGGAAGCAGGTGGTCTCTCCTTAGACAAGCTTTGGTCAAGTTCAGTTGAGTCCTGCAGTAGACTTGAGACTTTAGGTTTCAGCCTTGACAATTGTCCTGCCCTTGCCAGGTCTGGGTCACTGTGAGCATTATTCCTGTTAAATCAGTTTAGGAAGGAAGAAACTCCACACTTGATAGGGCAATTGATCAGCTCTTTATCCCCCAGCACCAATCTCTGATTACTGTGGGCCTGTCTTCAGCAAAATTCTTGTTCAGTGGTGCTGGAGTTTGGATCCTGAGTGCTCCCCATAGCCAGTGTGTTAAAGGTCTGTGCCCTAGGATGGCACTACTGAGAGGTATCAGGACCTTCAATGGCATCTAGTGGGGATTCTTTAGGTCACCAAAAGTGTGTCCTCAAAGGAGACTGTGGGATGCTTCTCTCTTCCTTTCTGTCTCCTGGCCTCCTGCTGTGTGTCCCCAATATGTGTGTTCCATCACCGGGGCTCCCAAAAAATCATATATTGAAACCTCTAAAACTTTGAGACAAAATAGTCTTCCTATTTATAAGTTGACTATCTCAGATAGTTTATCATAGTAATAATAGATTAACAACTGGTTATTGAGAAGCTTCATATCTCTTCTTAGTAATATTTAATCCCAAGGCTCTTTTACCATGATTCTTGATCAGAAAACCCCAGTTGTCATCACAATCTTGGTTGTCAACTTGACAGACTTGGGAAGTGGGAACCTCAGTTGAAAACTGCTTCTATCAAGAGGGAGAGCCCAGCCCTCTGTGGCCATTGCCACCCCTAGGCAGGTGGGCCTGGGTTGCATCATAACATCTATTGTAATAGTCTTGAACAAAGTCTTTCTTGCTACTTTAATAGATGTCAGAGTGGTTTTTCCTATAACTGCTATGAAAGGAAAAAAAATTGATTTCATAGAAGCAAATGAACAGGCAATCTGACACTGTCTGGGAAGACAAGAAAGGTTGGTACCAAACTTTGGTGTGTTTTGTCCCTGTTAAAGCCCATGTTGTAATTCGGTTGTCAGTGTAGCAAAACTAGAAGGTGTGGCCAGTCATGACTGGATCCACTTTTGTAAAAGTGGACTGTGCAAAGTAGCCTCCTCTGTGTCTTCATCTCTCTCACAGATACCCATGTGCCATTCCTGCCCATCATCTCCTTATGCCATAGATATCATCTTCTTTGTTGTGATGTAGCAGGAGGCCCTCATCAGATGAGGCTGTCCCATTTTGAACCTCCTACCTTCAGAACTGTATCTAAATAACCCCCTTTCTTTATAAATAACCATGTCTCGGGTGCTGTGTTATAGCAACAGAAAGTAACTAGGATTGTTTCTTGAGAAAATGATACTTGTGGTGAGCTCTGACTTCTTAAGGCAAGATAGACATTAGAAGTTATCCGAAGCTTAGACAGAAAACAAAAGGATGGTGGCTGACTTTTCAGGGCCATGCATGAGGGCATCATCCAAGAAGTGCTTGCAAAGACAACCCAATATCCTATTGAGTTTGGCTACTGTGAGCTATGAATTAGGTATACGACTGTGCAACGTTAGAAGTTAACTCACAAAATATTGCTAAATTACAAATTATGATTATTGTTGTTTTTATGTATTAGAGTGGCGAAAACTTCTGTTCAGCAGAAAAGATAATGTAGAGATGACTCAGTGATTAAGCACACTGGCTGCTCCTGCAGAGGACCTTGGTTCAATTCCCAGCACCCACATAATGACTCACAACAATCTGTAACTCCAGGACCAGGGGATCTAATGCCCTTTTCTGGCTTCTGCAGGCACTTCATGCACGTGTGGTGCATAAATACATAATACATACACACATACATTCAGGCAAAATACTTATATACCTAAAATAAAAATTAAAAAATTAAGAATTAAAAGATAACCTAAAAAGCTAGCTTGTTTGGATCCAACTTAACAAACATTTCAAGATTCTTCCCCAAGAATGCACAGAAGAGCTGATTCCACACGTGCTCTCTCAGCCTGGGTTTCCATCCTGCTGGCTCCAGCGTCAGGCAGGGAGGCAAGTCCTTTACAGGCTCTCAGAGAGTCAAGTCTTCACCCTTTAGCATCTACACTAAGACAGAGGTGGGGGGAGATCACTGAACAAGTGTTACCAGTACCTGTTCATTATGCATGCAGGATCCTGGCTTTTGAGGGCTCTGAGGATATGTAGGGATGTGGTAGTTGTGTTTGTAGAGGGGCTGAACACATGGGTGAAAAGCAGGAGCCACTCCTGTGATGGCTTAGGAGAGTATTGCTGACAGAGTCACACGGCTTCCTGCCCAGCAGTATCTGGGGGTCGTTGCTGTGTGCCATGGTTAATTTAGACTGCCATTTCGATTGGACTGAGAGCCGCCTAGGAGACTCTCCATGGGCAAGCCTTTGAGGGTGTGTCTAGAGACAACGCAATGGCACAGCTCTGAGCTAAAGAACGCTCTAATCCATTGATGGATTCAAAATTTGAATAGACGGTTGGAAGGTGTTGCAACTTCCTCCCTGATTAGAGGAAGTAGGTCACTGGAGGTATGGTCTTAGGGGCCATATCTTGCCTTGGTCACGTTAGGTGACTCCCATGTGCAACCCATCTGCCATAATGTTGAGTTGCTCTGCCACACCACGACCTCCCGGCCATGACAGGGTAACACCTCTGAAAACACGAACCCAAACCAGTCTTCCTTCTTGTTGTTTCCTTAAATGTTTTGGTTGCCAAGGTGCAAAAGTAATCAGTCATGTGTCCATCGTTAAACACTACTTAGGCATCTAAACTGAATCCTCCTGCCTCTGTTCCCTTTCTGTACTTTGCTGGTTTTTGTTCGTGAGACACTGTCCTTTTCACTCCAGGGCTTTTAATCTCAACACTGTCTGTGAGTTGTTCTCTCTCTCCTTCCTTGGCCAGTCAGCCATGAAGCCCTGGTGGGTGGCACTTCCCTCAGCTCGTCCCTGGGAACTGTCCTTTCTTCTCTGTCACCACAGCCAGGGTCCTCTCTCCTCAGTTGCTGGGATCCATGAGGGCCTGTCATAAGATTCCCACCAATCTTCCAGTTTTCAGACACTTTCCTCCCTATCCTATTTCACGAACTATTACCAAGCCAATCTCCCGTACAACAACGACAATTCCACCTGTCCCTTAGTTTAGCTCCCTCAGATGCATTTGCAGCCGTGGCGTGGACTCCTTTCCTGATTTCTACAATCTTTGTATGAGAAAAGCCAAGTGCAGCCTCCTTATGTTTTCTCGGAATGCTCAGAACATCTCTCCTGATGCAGCCCCCACCCTACCGAGGAGGGCTTCTCAGTGTAGCTTGCCAAGCCATGAGACCCACTAGTAGATGGATTGGGCCAGGAGTAGGCACTTGACTCATGGGCAGCTAGCACAGGCAGCCCGACATAAAGAGCTGCCCGTGCAGAACAGCCAGTGCTGGACGGAGGCCACTGAATCAATTTGAACCTCTCCTGGGAGTCTCATTCCTGAAGGGAGTAGCAGAGGAGAGTCAGTGAGGGCCTGAGGATGAGTCACCCAACCCAGAGCCCTGGAGTGACAGCCAGAGGGATAACGACATGATGGTGCTTTGAGACACACTGTCCTGAATGAGCTCATGGGACAGTGTATTCTGATGTTTTGACATCTGGGGCCTTGCTGACTTTGGAGGGAAAAGTCCTAGGATTAGTAATTAGTTGCCCTCTCCACTCCCACCACAGCATGTCTTTGAGACACAAATCAACCGAAGCCCCCATCCCTACCACCTCCTTTATTGAGCTCTTAGTCTCGAGGGTACCAGCCTCCTTTTGATCACCTCTAGTCCCCACCAAGCTAGAAGTGATCCCAGAGTTACGAAGCATACATTTTAGCCTATACTGAACCTGGATTCTCCCACAATGCCCAGTAAAGCCTCATACCCACCATCCTCTTGATCATGTGCAAAGCTTGTGGTCCCCTGAGGCATAGTGTGCCCCTTCCTCTTGGAACTGGAATGAACTATCGTGTCAATGGCAGCTGCATCCTGATCTGTTGGCTTTCTTATACCTCATTTCTAAAAACTTGGATTCTGCACGACATGCCCTTCTCTGAGGAGTCTGGCTGTGTGGTGGTCCCCACTCTCTTTCCGGCCTTGCCCTGGGTGTACACACTTAAACACCCTCTGTCTCACTTCAGATGACTTGCTAGTCTCCTTCAGAGCAGACCTTTGTTGTCTCACCTGTTTCTCCACCGAGCTCCCCAAGCCTGTGAGGGAGCCTTCAGACTGTCTTCCTAAACAGCCTTACATTTTTGTCCCCTGTGCCTGATCAACGTGAGGCCACCTTTCAGACCAACTCCTGCCCTCCCCTTGGCTAAAACTACTGTCTTTCTTCAAGATCTTCCATTCAGCTTTCCTGTGACCTGGTGTGTCCTCTCCACACCCACGTATGGGGCTGTTCCCTGATCTGTGTTCCGGAACACTCTCTCCTCAAGGCTTTATGTAATCTCAGTTCAGGGGACAGACGTTTGCTATTTTGCTCAATGAGAGAAAGCATTGATATCTAAACAATTGACATCTCCCTTTTCATCAAGCTGGGGTATAAAATCCCCGGATAGACCAAGAGTTACTACCTATTGAGTCAGAGCCTGACTGGAGGGGAAGCCCCGTCTTATCTCCATTCTGGACATCAGGAAGGGCAGCCCCCAGTTTTCTTTAGTGGAGAAAGATTTCAGTTTCTTCATTTTACAGTCAGGTCTGGAAGGGAAGGCACAGTACAGAGGAAGGAATGGGGGTGGGGTGGGGGAGGTTGGGGGGGTGGCCCACCAGTGGGATCTGAGGACTGTCTCTTAAGTGGAGGCTGGGGTGGAGGAGGGGGGGCTGGAGCAGAAGGTCAGACAATCAAATGTGTCCCTCGCGGTTTGGGTCTGGCTCTGACTTGTTTGTAATAAAAACATTTGGCTTGCCTTCTATGGGAGCCGAGCATGATGTAAACGGTGAAGGACTTACATTCCTGATTGTCCTCCTGGGGACTTCCTGACAAGGGGGTGGAGCTGAGTAGCTCCTGGAATCATCTACCCCCAAGACATCATATTGAGAGTTTGAATTATGCAAATAATTCAGATGCTACAATGAAAGCTCTAAATATACCTTAAACCCACAAACAATTTACTTGTCTCCAGGTCTATGGACTGTGTCCCTTTAAATGTACTTTCCATTCCTGGTTGTACTGTAATCAGCAGATGGCCCTCCCTCCCCTTCCCTCCTTCCTCCTCCCTTAAAACAGACCCTTCTAATAGCTAGCATCCTGCAGTGACCAAAGCCATTAGAAGGATTAGGCCATTACTATCCTGTCCAGCACACACACAATGCTCCAGGGACTGCCTTTCTTCCTCTTTGCTTGATGTTTTTTGTGGATGAAATCAGGGTTGAAAAATCAAAAAATGAGGAGGGCAGAAGGTGATAGTCACCTCCCAAATAGCTTTTCCTATTTGAGATTCCTTTGTTAAGGTGACAGCAGATGTCATCCTTGTGGTTTATAAAGCAGGCACTGAAAGCTCGCGGACAGGTTACAGACCTCTGTTCCTCGTTACCATAACACTGAAGGCTCATCCTTTCCCAAACACAAGAGCGAATCTGTTCTCTCCTGCTCGCCCACTGTTGTTTGTGCTGGAAAGAACCTGGGCCCAGCCCAGAGCCACGTTGCAGGGCTCAGGACTGCTCTGAAACACTGCCACCAAGTGGCGTGATGAGGTACGACAATTACGCAGTAAGGGCAACAGTACTCCAGGCTTTAGAAGCTCAAAGGAGAGGGGTGGCAAAAAATCAGGCACAAAGACAGTAGCCGGCTTGGACATGGCTAAATAGTGCAGGCGACAGGAAAAAGGGGCGGCGGGGGGCGGGGGAGCTGGAGCGTGAAGAGAGAAATTAAAAGCAATGAATTGGTAGGCGTGAGCAGTTTTCCCTGGAAGCTGGAGATGCAGGCAGGATGAGCTTCGAGTCAGCCTCTGTTTGGATGGCTTAGTCTGGCTTGCATCTGGATTCTTTTTTATTTTTTTTTCATTTTTAAAATTTTTTTTCTTTTCATTTTACATTCCAACCACAGTTCTCCCTCCCTCCCCTCCTCCCAGAACCTCCCTCCCCCGCCTCCTCCCACATAGGTCTTCAGTCAAGGGTATACGCAGTAGCTGCTCCCTTCTAGAACCTCCAAGTGTCTGGATTCTTAAGGATCCCGGAGCTCTGTTGAGTTCAGGAAGTCACCGTGCCTCTGTTTCCTTGCTTTGTGGGCTGAGTTAGACCTCTTAAGTTTCCCTTCAGTTGAAACATTGTATGGATTTGTTGTTGAGAAATGCAATACAGATTGCATACAGTTGGCAATCCCCAAATCGTTTGTGTGACGTCTGGTTGCTGTACCGGGAGACTTAAAAACCTCCATCTTGCTCGTCTTCAGCATCCTGTAGCTCAAGACTCCTCGGGAAAGTGTAGAAGAGGGCCCCCCAGGATGTGGTAACTGCTATCAAGCTTCCCAGTACCAGCTGAGGAGAGCCAGCTCCCGGAGACCTGGAAACTTGTAGTATTTCAGGGCACCGGAGCTGTTGGGTAGTGGGAGCATTGGTAAGGAACTGGTATGGAGTGAAGCTGGACTCTCAGAACACTGAAGCAACACCGGAACCTAATGGGTTAGCAATTGAGTAGACCACTCTTTTCTGTAAGATTCACATCTTAAAAGAAAACTTTCTGTTAGAAGGCTCCCAAGAAATCAGATACTGTTAGCTGGAATGCAAGAATGTGGGCAAATAGGAAAATTCCTAGGTCCCCCAACCCTGTCTGATGATTCTTACCCTTTGTCACTTCTTGGGAAAAATCCTATGTGATGGCTGTTTTAAACACTGGTCCTGGAGAAGATGCGGGCTCCGGCTCTGAAGAAACCCATGTTACATTTCCTCCTCCATTTAGGATTTGATGGTCCTGCTTATCTAGAGTGCTCACATTGTGAACACCGTGGCGGGCTGGGGATTTTAATTCTGCCTTGATGGAATTTGAACCTAAACATGATGCCAGTGCCACTTTATAAACTGGGAATCATTAAGCTGGCTACAAATACCTCGAGGGGTCCTTGCTCGTTCAACATAAATCAGTAAAATGACAGGCAATTGACTTTGAAGACAGCTCTCATGCGGCTGAGTGGCTGGAGCTGCTGGAAGCAGATGAGGCCATTTTCCTGTAAACATGCTTTGGATTAGCACCAGAGTAAACAGCAGATTGGGCTGTGTCTTCCAGACTCCAGCCTACCCTGGATCTTTTATTAGGCAGAAACCAACATGCCCCTCAGGGCAGGGAAGTTGCCAATTGGAAGAACTAAGTTTGGATTTCAACTACTGGTGAGTACTTCTGGCTCCTCCCACCCCCCTAAAGGAAAACTAGAGACTTGGTTTTTAGTTAAAACGGGAGTGTGGCAGTCACACCCTTCAATGCAAACCCGTGTTGTCTTTGCTATGATGCCATTTTACAACATTTGGCAGGGCTCAGAGTTTACCTTGATGGACAGGGGCATGTTTGAGAGGTTGACAACTGACAGTGTCCCATGATGTTACCTAAAAGACATCAGAAGGTCACATCAATGGCTATGTGGAATGGACAGAGCACACCGGCACTGTCTAAGGCTCCCCCCCCCCCAAGACCTGCTTCAGTGTGGCCTACTGAACCAAACAGCCCGGGTTGTTATGTCAACTGATTTTCTTCAACAAAAGTTGGGTTTTTCATGGAGAACACTAAGTGTGCCAAAAGAAGTGAGTCTGCAGTATCTGGCCTGCTTGTGACCTGGAGTTTGTACCGAAACATGCCCAGTGCCTCTTTATAAGCTGGGGATCATCAAGTTAATTACAAATACCTCAAGGGGTCTTCATTTAGATTCCTTCAAAGTCATCTGGCTGCAGCAGGACCTTAGTTATTTTAGTTATTTAGCTATGTAAAAGGAGAGAGAGAGAGAGAGAGAGAGAGAGAGAGAGAGAGAGAGAGAGAGAGAGAGATCTTAAGATTGCATAGACTTCCTTAGTAGGCAAAGCCTCAACAGGAAGTATAAAATCTCCGAGTTCCCTAGACCCTATCTGTTTTATTGTTTTGTTTTAAAATTCCAACTTAAAACCTTTCATGCTGCAACTTAAGCCACTTAAGAAAGTTTAATCAATAGGAACAAATTAATGGAAATGAAATGGCTCATCACCACTGGGATGCCTAGAAGTCACATGGGAATGCCATACTCTGCTGGCATTTGCCAGGAGGAAGCCCCAGTGGCTGTCTTGAGGCTCCATTCCTCAGAGGTAGTTGTGTTGTAGGGAGAGTTGGCGCTGATGGCTCAGGGCAGGTCCCACTTGCTTTGAATTTATTTCTTCTTTATAAAGTGGGCTGCCTCCATCCACTCCCTGGAGTCCTGCCCTGGGGGAGGCAAGTCTTGGCTGACTGCAGGGAGATTAGTACATTCTGCCTGTAGAGGGGGAATCTGTAACCACTTTCTTCTTGCAAGTCTTTGCACACCTTTCTTAACCATTCTAAATCAGAGTGTCTTTTGGCTTCCAAATTCAAGATTAAAATTTGGGCTTTCTCTATAGCATGGTGGCAAGGAGTAAATGGAGTCTTCTAGCTTCAGTGCTTGGCTCCAGACCAGTTGATGGGGAGGGCAGGAGGGCCAGGTCAATGGTCATGGCCAGGAGGGAAGGCCTCCCTGGTATTTGCCTTTCTCTTTGGGCACTTGGGACCAGCCTTGCCTCATTGGTGCAACAGTGAGTTAGGCGCCACACTGTCTGGGGGTGGGGGTGATCCAGGTGCCCTGAGTGGGTATGTCCCATGGGCATGAGAACACAGGACAGGGATGTGTGGAGGGAGCCTGCCTGTGTCAAAGGCACCTGGGACCAGGAGACAGTGTCAGACAGTTTAATTCCTTCCTGCCTGCTGGAAGGCTCTAGCTAGTTATGCCCAAACATGCTTCTGTTTCTTCTTCCCTCCTGGCTGCCTTTGAACTTTGAACCCAGCAATAGCCACAAATGACAGCAAAAACACACAGGGAATCAGTGCTTTTGTGGGACTGGGGCCATGTGGTCCGTGGTGATTTCCTGTGTCCACGTACAGTTGCTCTGGATGCACAGTGGCTCTCAGTCCCAATGTAGAAGTAGAGTAGTGTGCAATATGTTGTTTTGGCAGAAAGCTATGAGTTTTTATCTGGGATGTCTGTCACCGGAGCCTATCCTATTAACTCACGAGATCAGAGTAAATAGCTTCGAGGAAGCAGCTGAGGCTTCACGTGGCCTTTATTTCTTGTTTGTCTTCCAGGTTAGGCAGGTCCGCAGTTGCTGGGCCAGAGAAGGGAAAAACACAAGGCTTAGTTCTGGCTTTGCCCTTGCAGGGAAGAAGGGGGTTAGCTCCCATGCATTTTGGACTAGAGGATTCCGGCAAGCTTCCTCTTTAGAAGGAAGTATTGAGATACCCTGGCAGAGTCCTCCTAACTGTGACTTGTGGTAGCCATGAGCCAGGAACAAGGCCTGGAGGAGATGGTACCCTCCTTGACAGAGAAGGTGCCAGGTTGGCAGAGTTGGTTGACACGTTGAGTGGTGACATATCCTATGGTACAACTATGCTGGGAGACCTAGGCACCTGTAGAAAGCCCTGTGAGAGATGCCATCTCACTGTACTGTCAGTGCATCTGTGGGTGCCCAGGGCCAGCACCCATTTCAGCCCTGGGCATGGGGCTTTTAGTGCCACTGATTGCACGGGATGCTTGCAGGGGAATTGTGTGGATGCAGCTATGGGCATCCCCTGGACCTGCATGCCCTTTAACCTTGCTCCTCTTCCTGTGGCTCTCTGGATTTAGATGATCCTCGTCACAGTGAGATGAAACCCACAGCTATTTTCACAGGTAGACCGCCTTCTCCAGCTGGGAAGGAACTAGGGCTATATGCAGCAGGAGGGGCAGCTAGGAGAGTATTTTCAGCTGTCCTTGAGCCAGGGCATCATCTGCACACCTTTCACAGGCCCAGGGTGCTTCTCACACACCCGCCCCAGAATCTCAAAGACCTGGCCTCCCTTTTCCAGCATGCACCCCCAGGCCTTGCAGGGGTGTTTCTTCAGCAGTGATGGGAGTGCTGGCTCCGAGGCAAAGGCATATTTGGACCTTTGCTCTCTGTAGCAAAGGACCTCAAATAATGAAGCCTGGGAGAGGAGAAGGGCATGCCTGCTGTCTGTTGTCCCTTGCTCATGGCAGGCAGGCAGGTGTCAAAGGCGCTCTCATCAAGGACTGCACGTTAAGTTTGTCTTTGTGCTTCTAGCTGCTTCCATTTCAAAGGCTCTGCCAGTGAATCCAGGGAGTCATTCCTGGCCCGGCAGGCGTCTCCATGGTGACAGCAGAGCCAGCCTGAGGGAGAGAGGCACTCACAGCACTTTCCCATAAGTTCCCTTTTCTAATTTTTTCCCTTCTTATTTTTTTTCCAATAGTGACTAAGGCTGAAAATTAAGTTTAAAAAATAGGATAAAATGGGAACTCCCTAAACTATTGTACAAAAACCCCATTGTATATAAATACATTCTTGTTGTTACCCATCTCAGTTGAGTACAACATACCCTGAGAATCAGGATTTCTTTTTTTCTCTCCCTCCTTTACAACTGTCTGAAGAAGGGATGGAGTCTACTTTTCCTGTTTGCCTCTGTTTACAGGCTCTGGTGAACTGCTGCAGCCTGCTTGCAGATGCCTGCAGCCCCCACCCCCCACCCCCAGTGGATGGAAAACCTGTCCAACCAAACATTGCATCAGTAATAGAGGTTGAGCAGCCATTACTTGGGTAGCAGAGGTTGACCGGGAGTTTGTAAACATCCGGCTGTTGCTTGGCAGGCCGCCTGCAATATGCTTGGGGAGTCGTTTTTTGGTTGATGTCACTATGCCAACACTGGAGAGGGTACTTAGGCCAGTCTCTTTACATGGTCCATTTTAAACAATGAAGAGGCTCCTGTAGATGGTAACAGCCTAAGGCGGATGCTGTTGTAACATGGCCCTTATTTACAGTAAACTTTTAAAAAGTATTATTTGTAAGTAGAAAGTGTTATAAGGTGGCGTGAGGGGGACCTTTGCGGATTTCCACGGTGGGTGAGGGACAAACATGCCAGGCAGACAGAACTGGAGTGGGAAGTTTTATTGGGCGAAAGGGAAGGGAGTGGAGAAAGGAAAGGGAGAAGGGGGAAAGAAAAAGAAGAAGGAAAGGAGGGAGGGAGGGAGAGAGAAAGAGAGCGGTAGAGGGAGACAGGAAAAGTCATGTCTGCCCCTTCAGAGGAACAGCAGGAAAGAGAGCTGACGTTGGGGAGTTTTCCTCTTAAAAGGCCCTTTGTGCCTGTGTGCAGACTATAGTGATGTAGCAGCCATAGGACGGTGGCGGGTCGCGGGGGGGGGGGGGTGGGGGTGTGGGGGGGGGGGGGGGGGGGGGGGGGGGGAGGCCAGCATAATGCCTGAATCCTAACACAAAGAGTATACTCTAAAACAACCATAAAATGTAATAGAGTGGCGGCATGAAGGGTGACGTGTTTTACCATCTTTTGAGGCACTAGCGCTCCCTCAAAGAGCCACACATATGTACAACATTCTGCAGGCTGATTGGCCAAGTAAAACCTATGTGATTGTGGAAGGTTGAAATGTTGCAGATGAAGGGCCAAAGTTATCTGGGGCTATTTGTTTCCCACCTCTGTGTCTAACTCAGTGTTCTCTTGATATTGGTGGGTATGAGGATTCCAGAATTAACCTCTGAAGGATTTCCATGAGCTTGTGTCTCAGAAGTTTGGATTGGACAGAGACGTGTGGATGGTTGGTAGCGATTAATGGAGAGCATTCACTCAAGAAAAAAAAAATACACTTTCAAGGGAGGAAGTAGGCCTGCACTGAGGGAAAGTCTGGAAGCCCAAGGGCAACCGCTGCACAATGGATGGGGACTTGTACAGTGGCACAGTGTTGTCTTTGGCTCATTTGCATAGCACGGTATTTCTCACAAGTGCAGTTACCAGTTCTGCATCCTCCATGCATTTAGCATTTGAACTCTCCGCGCGCGCGCGCGCGCGCGCGCGTGTGTGTGTGTGTGTGTGTGTGTGTGTGTGTGTGTGTGTTAGTATTATAATGAGCTGCAGATCACCTTCACACAGTCTGGGGTGCCCTCTGTGCTCCAGCCAGTTCTAGTTGTTTTGGGATGCTGTGTTGGAGGAGGGAAGGTTCCAGCCTTCCTCTTTCCTGACAGCTTTCTTTCTCCTGCCGGCTTGGCAGCCTTTATGGCTCTCACTCCCTGACCTGTTCTTGCTCATCATTTTGACTCTCAGGTAAAAGCATTTGTAATGCATTAACTTTGTTAACAGACCA